TGTTAGTTCTTGGACTTCCCCATGACATACAATGCAGATTCAGAAGATGGACACAGAAGACTTGTTTGGAGTTCTTTGAACTTACAGGTGCCTCTGTTGCAATGCAAAAGTTATCCTGTAGGCTAGAGTACATCCATTATAAAAGAACCACACTGACACACCCATGGATTAATAACTGGGCATTACCATATTAGTAGACGTGCTGAGATCAACAGATACATATTTGGACTTAAGCTGTATTTGCCATATTAACATGCTCACTTAAACAATATGCCCAAAATTAAGTTGCTGTAAATGGTCTTTCCCCTTCCTTTCATAGTTGGCTGTGACATCAGCAAATTTAACTGAGAGGCAGAAAATGCAGGGAGGGGGTGTCTTCGTATTGCCAGTGTGGTACTGCCAAAGATGTTCCTCATACTTTCTAGCAAAGAAATGCTTATATAGTAGGGATGGGGGGGGGGGACTTGCTGCAGCAGATTACCCTAAGGAAATTGTTTAGTGGGTTGGGTAGTTCAGACTTAATCTGGGGGGGAGGGCAATTTGCTGCAGCAGATTACCCTAAGGAAATTGCTTAGTGGGTTGAAAGTGGGTTGGGTTGTTGTTGTTGTTGAGTCGCACAGTCGAGTCCGACTCTTCGCGACCCCATGGACCAGCTCCCGGGTAGTTCAGACTTAATCTGGATTTTTGTTTATGTGGAAACAAGATATCTGAGCCAAACCAGATTCTAACATCCTCACATGATTAGGTTGCTGTAGGTCATAATAAATAAGGGCACAGTCATATAGCATTGTAGTCTTTAATCTTTCCAGGTGTGGGATCCACCTTCCCCCGCCCCCAGCAAGATGGGTCCCACTGAGCTGCAACAAGTACCTCAGTGTCATATGACAGGAAGAGAGGGAGCTAGAGTAATGACATGGCCGGTGTCAAAGCCAGGACTACATAGACAGGAAACCAAGACGAGTAAAGGAGCCAAGGATCAGTGACTGAGAAATCCACTCCACTACTGGATGACCTGACCTCACCATCCTACTGCTCCTGTATGCGCAAAGAAAGGGAAGAGACAGGACACTTTTCTGCGCATGCTTTCTATGAATGAGCACTAGCAGCAAAGAAAGGGAGGTCCATAGGAGCTCACGACTCACTTGGTAAGGCTTTGTGACCAACCCATGATGTGAAACCAGTGCTATAAAGGTTGGAGCTTTCTATGACTGAGAAATCAACAGATTACAGAACAGAAAGTGAAACATACATAAAGAACTACAGGCTGACCTAGATCTTAAATAGTTTATTTGCAAAAATTTCCCAGAGCTAGCAAAGGGCCGAGCAACAATGGGGAGGGGCTGTGGCTCAGTGGTAGAGCATCTATTTGGCATGCAGAAGGTCCCAGGTTCAATCCCCGCTATCTCCAGTTAAAAGATCTGGCAGTAGGTGATGTGAAAGACCTCAGCCTGAGACCTTGGAGAGCTGCTGCCAGTCGGAGTAGACAATACTGACTTTGCTGGACCAAGAGTCTGATTCAGTGTAAGGCAGTTTCATGTGTTCAACAAGCCCTATTAAAAATGTGCAATATTTAACTCAAAACAAGGCTCTTCTCTATTTCCCAACACCATGATTACCAAGAGAAAAGGAATCAGGCTTAGATCCTATGGTACCAATCTGCTGGCACAATTGCAGTTCTTTCAACAGAACAACATTGGGGGGGGGGGGGGGGAGTTTTGCCAATTCCTCCTTTCTGCTACAGACTCCCCCCCCACACACCCACTATTCCTGGAGGACCACTGATCTGCAGCAGCACAACTGGGAGGGGGGGACAAGAAAGAAATTGCCTTCCTCAAGCACAGCTCTGCTCAGGATCCAAGCCAGAGGTTCGTAACACAGTGGGAGGCTACAGGCTAAGGAGGACCTAAAGGTAATATAGACCATCATATAACTATCAAAATTTGAGGTCACTAGATTTGGAAGGGAAAAGAACTTCGGTACTTTTGAATAGTTTTACCTCCCTCCATCCCCTCCCGAAGAAAGAACCGGTTGTCCTAACTACACATCCATAAGGTGTCACAGACGCCACCAAGAATGACAGGTGCCACTGACATCTCTTCTTGCTCCATCCCTACAGCATAGAGAAAGCGCTCAGGGACAACCCATCTTTCAGAAACAAAACATACACAGAGATCATTAAAGTTCTTGTAACCCCTCATTCTAAGCATTTTTGTTCAAAATCTACTTCTGGGTTAAGTATGCTCAGGATTATAATACCAAATTATTTAATATCGTTTATTAAGAATGGCTTCATTCAGACACTACATGACATCATGCTTTAATTAAGGTAACTATGGTTATTGTAGTAGCAAAGAGCAAGAGTTCAGTAGCACCTTAAAGGCTAACAAAATTTGTGGCAGGGTAGGAGCTTTCATCACTTTTTCAGACACACCTAGAATCTGAGTCCATCAGTCTTTATATCTTGGAGAGTGGAGTGATTTCAGATGCTGAATGACAATAGCAGGCAAATGACAATAGCAGACAAATGACAAAAGCAGGCATGATTGAATTAGGTGTGATATGCAGAGAGATAGTAGGCTTGGAGAAACCAGCAGTGGTAATGAGACAGGAAACCCAGATCTTGATTCAATCCAGAATATAAGAACAGATGAATTTACATTCTAGCTGTATCTGAAGAAGTGACTAATGAAAGGTCATATCCCGCCACAAATTTTGTTAGTCTTTAAAGTGCTACCGAACTTTTTCTCTTTTCTACTGCTACAGACAGACTAACAAGGCTACCCATCTATGGCTACGGTAATAATCTAAGCATGGGCCATGAATTATGGTTAGCTATGGTACATTAAATCAAGATTGGAAACCATGGTTTGAATTTGGTTTATTAATTACAGTTAGTCTTAACCACAGTTTCACGTGACATAAAAATGCCGACATCCTGGTTTGTTCCCCAGCTCTGCCCTCACCATACTGTAAGCTGCAACACCATCTGTATCTCTGTGGGGGACAGGGAAGAAAAAAAGTAAAGTGGTGAAACCAGCATCTGGTGAGGCAAACCAGGATTTGGATGTCCATCTGTGAGTAGAATCCTGATTTCATAAACTATCCATGGTTAAAACAAACCAGCATTTCCTGTTATGCCTGAACAAAATACTTATAGACTGCCCTTCCATCCTGAAATAATTGGCTACTAAGCTTTACAACAAATTAAAAGCCTATGAAAATAAGCTAAATCAATAAAATAAGAAAAGAAAGTTAGCCAGAACAAAGTCTGTCCAAAAAAAGGAGAGAAACAATAATCAGAATCCCACCACCATCATCATACAAAATGTTTAGAAATCAGTTTAGAGTTAGCAGCTAATTTACATATGTACCAAAGATCCTGTTCAAAAGGACCATCTTGGTCAGTTAGTGGAACAGCAGCAGGACTGGAACATGCCAACTTCCCTCAAAGGGTATTCCAGTGTCACTGCTATCAAGAACAAAATTTAGTTCAGTAGCACCTTGCTAGTGGTGAAGAGTTCTGTCAAGTTGCAGCAGACTTATGGTGGCTTGCCATTGCCTGCTTCTGTGTAGCAACCCTGGACTTCCTTGGTGGTCTCCTATCCAAGTACCAACAAAGCACCTTAGAGATCAACAAACTTTTTCAGGGTATAAGCTTTGCCTCACAAAAGCTTACATCCCAACATTTTTTGTTGATCTCTAAGGCAATACTGGACTCAAATTTTGTTCTGCTGCTACAGACTAAGGCAGCTACCCACTTGAAAAACTGCTTTAAAGAAAACCCTATGACTCATGATCATCCACCATAATTCAGATAGGAAGGATCCAAGGAGCAGACCCTCTGACGAGGACCTCAGTATCTAGGTCAGTCTTGGGAAGGCGATTTAAGCCGCTCTGATACTAGCTCATAAGGGTTTAAAGGGCACAACCTGCACTTTGAACCTGACCTGGAGATTAATTAGCAACTAGCGCAGAAGCAGCAAAATGAGAGTAACATGTTTCTTACAGCATAACCATACCAGCAATATGGCAGCCAGGACCACCCCAAGAACATCAAGGTATGACAAGCCGATGCAGATGTCACCAACATCTGTGTGACTGTGGCCAGACCTCTTCTATCTAGAGAAGGGTACAGCCAATGAACCAAAGTTCAACCAAGACAACCCTGCCCACAGCCACTACTCAGTCACCCACTGCTAGTATGACTACTATTATTTATTAAACTTATGAATCGCCCACCCTGCAAGCAACACACCAGTCCCCATGTATCCATTTTCACAGCAAAAAAGAACCTAAGCATAATAGCTATCATAGTGCTTTTCTGTGCTTTTCATTAATCTGGAACAGCTCTTTCAATACCCCATTCCATGCCTGCTACAACCAATGTTCCCTCTAAGCTGTGGAATCTTGTGAGCAAAAATTCTGCTTTGTGAGCTACTGGCATTAAAGTTGTGAGCGAGCGATTTGGCTATGGCATAAATCAGTTTGCTTTGGAGCCATCCTTCCTGAGCTAAGACAAAAATGTGTGAGCCGGAGGCTAAAAAACTGTGAGCTAGCTCACACTAACTCAGCTTAGAGGGAACACTGGCTACAACCAGTAATGTAGATTAAAATATCCCAACCAGCACCCGTCAGCATGTCCTGAAAGAGGGAGAACTCACTCTTTAACCATCCTTACTGTGAGAACGACAAAATGCTTCAGGGTTATGGAGTGGCCATAATCTACTATCTCCAGGCGCTGCCCCCCCCATCCCCCATCCCCCATCCCATTTCTCTCTCAAAAAGAACCCAGGTGTCCTGGCTACACATTGCATTACTTTCTCAAAGAGAACCCAGAAGTCCTTCCTACATAACCTGTCCCATTCCTCCCTCCCTCCCTCCGAGGAGCCCAGGCGCCCTGCTCCTCCCGCGCTCGAAGAGGTGCCAGAGCCCACCCAACCCAGATGCCTTGACTGCAGCCCCCTTCCCGCCATTTTAAGCCCCCAACCTCTGCTACTCACTCAACGCTGCGGCTGGAGAGAGAACCTTCCCTTTTTCTCGAGCGCGCTTTCGTCTACTCGGGAGCCGAGGAGAGGCCGGCAGTGGGGACAAGCGAGCGTGATCCCGGCCGCGTCCCTAACTCCTCCCCGGCACCGCCTCCAGATCCTCCCAGCTCAGACGGGCCTAGTAAGGGAAGGACGGGAGGAAGCCCTCCCGGGGCTCTATGGCGCCGGCGTGTGAGGGGGTCGCAATGTGGTGTGTTCTTGCAGGGCTCCCAGATCGGCGTCCAGCCAGCAAAGAAGCACCCTCCGGTGCCAAAAAGGTGCCTTGCATCCCGATCCGGAGTGTAGTGGCTCGAAAGTAAGTCCCAGAGAATTCAGCGGGATTTACTTGTAATAAGCGACGTCTGCACCGCGGAGCGGTCTTACAAGACAAAGGCGACTGGCAGTAGGCTAGCATTAACAAGCGTCTTAAATCCCAGTCAACAACTTTTTTGTTGTTGTTGAGCTTCTGAGTAGATCGTATAGGTTGCGTGAAGCCTCGATCAATCGCTGTTACTGATCACCGGAATCCATTAATCATGGATTAAAATGCGGCATTTGCGGCTTCAGTGCTGCACTTTACCAACGAGGATTATTTGGCCTCTGCCTCTGCCTTCTGTGACATGAACTATCTGAGGGTATTTGAGTCCTTAACAGTATTTTCATGTCTTTTGACATTCTGTTTGTTTTCATCGAGTTTTATTTCCTCGGATAATATTTTCTTTTTTCTCTCTCAATTACACCCTGAACCCTCAGAATAAACAAATGTCAGCAAAACTAATTTCCCCCCTCGGTAAAGATTGTGTTCATTCGGTACCTCTGAGCTTCGCCTGCTCGAATCTTGTGTTATACATCTAACATCAACAGTCTGCACATGATTTGTTTGCAGTCATGCATCTAATATGCATATTTGCTTGTGAGTAAGTCCCATTTGAACTTGCAAGTAAACATGCATCAGAAATAAGGGCCTAACTATAGGTAACAGATATCCCCCGGTTGTTCGCAGGGTCCACACAATCCATGTGCATTTGCAGCCTACCCACTGAGAACTCAATTCCCAGCCTTATGGGGCCCGATTCAGGCCAGGATCACACATGAGGAGAAGGGATTTTTAGCCTTCCCCCCCATGCTGTTTTTCTATCCTGAAATACTCCTGGGGAGACTGCAATTTGCCCTATTGGGTGCTCAGTATGTATTAAGTACATGAAGGTTTCTCCAACAAAGAGATGACATGAAGCTGGGTGGGATTGCTAATTCTGAAGAGAGTCAGGATTCAAAATGGTCTAGATAGGCTGGAACAGTGGGCTGAGAGACAAATAAAATGAATTTCAATAGAGATAAGTGCAAATTCCTACACTTAGGTACAAAAAAATCAAACACACATATATAGAATGGTGTTCTGGTTGATCACAAGCTAAACATGAGCCTGCAGTGTGATGTGACTGCAAAGAAAGCTAATGCAATCTTAGGATGCATTAACAGAAGCATTGTGTCCAGATCACGGGAGGTGTAGTTCCCCTCTATTCTGCTATGGTCAGGCCTCACCTGGAGTACTGTGTCCAGTTTTGGGCACCACATTTTAGAAAGGATGTTGACAAGCTCGAGCGTGTCCAGAAGAGGGCAACCAGGATGGTGAGAAGGTTGAAATCCAAGTCTTATGAGGAAAGGCTGAAAGAGTTGGGTATGTTTAGCCTGGAAAAAAGAAGGCTTAGAGGGAACATGATTGCAGTCTTCAAGTATTTGAAGGGCTGTCATGTAGAAGATGGAGTGGATCTATTCTCTCTTGCTCCGGATTGAAAGACTAGATCTAATGGGTGGAAATCACAAGGGAGTCGTTACTGGCTAAATATCAGGAGAAACTTCCTAACTCTAAGAGTGGTTGAGCAGTGGAACAGACTGCCTCGGGAGGTGGTGGATGCTCCTTTGCTGGACGTTGTCTTTTTCTTTTCTTTTTTGAATCCCCGTGAGGGGAATTTTTTACTGGTTTTTTTAAAGACTACAAACTATAACTAAAAATACAGGGAGGGGAACTACATCTAAGGAGAAAGAAAAAAGACCCACTACTAACTAAAAACCCAAGAGTAGGAGATCAATACATCATCTTATATCAATATTATTTTAAAAAGCTAGTAATACAATGAACATAGTCGTTTATGCTAAATTACTTGATTAACCATCCCTTTAACTGTTTAAAGAGATCCCCAGAGCATCCCAAAGTTATTTCAACATTTTTTCAGGCACAATTCAGAGTCCTTCAGCCCTCATTTACTCTTATCTTTTCTAATCCTCAGTTTATATGAGCTTTTGGGGGCAGCCACCCCCTTTTCAGAGGGGGGGGGTCCTCGTCCGACGACCCCGAGCCCAATTCGCCATCAGATTTGCTTTCTTCTTCTTCCTTTTTGTCCTCTTCTGGTTCCCCAAGCTGTGTTTGCAAAAAGTCACGTGCTTTGAAAACAGAGTAAATCTTTTCTTTTTTATTGTGGAGTTTGAAAATGACGCCTTCTGGAATTAAGAATGGAAGAGGGCCAACTCTAAAAATCTAATTATGAAACATACAAAAATATACATGTATTTATTAAACACAAATTAAAATAACAAATAAGGGCCCATTCATACCTCATATACAAATATAAAAATACAAAGGCTGATAAAATAGACCTAAATCAGCCTTTGTATTATTACAACGTTCTCATACGTATGAATATATTTTGGCCCTCAACCAACACTCAGTCCCACCTACCTCACAGGGTGTCTGTTGTGGGAAGGGGAGGGGAAGGGAAGGGAAGGGAAAGGAGTTTGTAAGCCACTCTGAGACTCCTTTGGGTAGTGAAGGGGGGATTATATATCCAATGTCTTATCTCTTCTTATTCTTTATTTGGAGGGGAATTTAAACTCCTAATTTTTTGTTTTTTTTAAGATTTCAGATTTTTCTGGAAACCTGGAGGGTCCCCAAAGTTTGCAGGACAATCTGTTTAATATCAGTGTGACCCCAATCTGCAGATTTAGATATCCACATGTAACTATTAGATATATAGATCATGATGGTAATTATATATGTTTCCCTAAAAGTACTTTGCCACCTTCAGCTCCACCAGCAGCAGAAAGGAAGGACGAGGACCCTATGAGAAATTAAAGTAAATATGGGAAGAGATGAAGGAGGAGGGAAAGAAACAAAAATAGTGAACTTGACAAGATTTTTACTTAAAACTTGTCTTGAATGTTGTCTGAGATTTTCTTTTGTTGGAGAAAAAGGAAAAAAGGATTTCAAAGCTGAATCATAGTTTGAACAATGCATGAAATTCCAGCCTTGAAGTTTGCTAAACTTCAGATTGGTGTAATCTTTCCTTTCAAGCTTATACATTTCTCTTCTGCTCTGAAAAGTAGTAGCATTGTGTACTCAACTCTTTTGCAGTATTTTCACAATTCTAGGAAGCAACCCCATCTCAAGGCAGGTTCCATTGTCCAGGTTCTGATCCCTGCATCCCCTGGGATTTGCCTGGTCCCCTACAGGGTACTTTGTGAGTCAGAGCACTGTTTCAGTATCTCTCCACTGTCCTGACATTCAGGGTATGACCTGTGTGTGTGAAATCGTAAACTAAGGGGGTGCCTTAGAGAAAATATGACCTAGTTTTCCATGGAAAGCTTCCAGTTCACCAAAACATTCATAAGTATTTGCCACAGGAGGGCAATAGCCTGCAGAAGTAGACAACATACTTCAGGCATTATTGACCACTAAGGAGTTTGATTGCCTTCAACGAGCAAATGACTTCAGGACCATATAGTTGCAAACACCCACACATTAATTCCCACATTATAAGCCTCTTCCTTTGATAATGCTTGTTCCTGACTTGCCTGGAGACTCCAGCCTGTGCACATACTGCACAGAGGCAGCTAGTTGATGAAGAGCGACAGTTTGCTCAGACAGCAGATTTTAGGACATAAAGGGCAGCAGAGTAGGAGACAGATCTGATCCACAGAATACAATCCATCTGTTGTCTTGCACCAGTGGAGCTGGAATGAGTGCAAGTTAAACAAAAGCACTTTCATTAGGAACAAGCCACTTAGAAATTTTTGAGCTAGATCTGAAACTACCTTTGTTGAACCTTAGAAAGGGATCAGTTGAGTTTGTTTTCTAAGGCTCATGAGGACAGAGCCTGAGAACCACAAACCAGGGACACCAGTAACTATGTTGATCCAAGGTGAAATCTAAAAGCAGTAGTTATGTGATACCTTTTTATTAGGACCTACCAAAAAAAGCAAACGGTGCAAGCTTTCATGTTCTCTAGAACGCATCACTGAGATGGATGTTTTTTGTTTTTGTTTTTAAATTAACATCCAACCTGACAAAGAGTTCTGGTGAACATGAAAACTTGCAAACTTTTGCGCTATTTTGGGTGGTCCTACAGCTACACATGACTTTTGTTTTCAAACCAGTGTCAGCGTCACCAGCTGGCTAAGCTTTTACACAAGGGAAAAGGATCATAAGCACTCTTGTGCCTTATGGTTTGGGTTGCTATGAATATTATAATTTGCAAATAGGGAATGAATGACAACTGTGCTTCTGTCAACATGTGGGTTTATATTTAGTTAATGTCCATATAGCCTCTCCAGTATGGTCTCTGAAATCTGCTCTTTGAGTATACTTTGCAGCAGTACACAAATAACTGACTAATAGCTGTGTTAATGAGCCAGCTAATCACTGGCTATTTGTGTGCAGTCTTTTAAATTACCACCCTGAAATGTTATTTTAGATGCTTTCTTCTTCCTGTTTGTCCCCCTTCTCAAGATACAGTTCTAAATTTGGCAGATCAGAATCAAATAACTTGTCCTTAAAGTTGGGTTAGGGTACAAGTATACACATTTACAATATTTATGAAAACTCAGATTGAGCAAATCAATTATTTTAGTACATAAGAACTAAAGGAATAGGTCCCTCCTGCAGTAAACTATCTTTTATGATTAAAAGGTCTGGGGACTTGGCCCAAATACATAGTTTTCATTTCATTTATTTGGGGCATTTATGTATCTCTTTCCTTTGCAACAGGACTCAGAGTGGCTTACAGAGATTTTCAAACCAAACTAATACCATAATTTAAACAAGCAAGACAAACAAATATAGCCTGGGGAAGTTGTCATTCACTGGGCTGGCTGAAGTCCAATAGCCCTTCAACTGGCGCTTCAACTAGCCAGTCTGGTGTAGTGGTTAAATGCGTGGGCTCTAATCTGGGAGAACCGGGTTTGATTCCCCATTCCTCCACTTGCACCTGCTGGATGACCTTGGGCAAACCATAGTTTTGGCACAGCTGTTCTTGAAAAAGAGCAGTTTCTTTCAGAGCTCTCTCAGCCCTACCTACCTCACAGGGTGTCTGTTGTGGGGAGGGGAAGGGAAAGGAGTTTGTAAGCCGCTCTGAGACTCCTTTGGGTAGTGAAGGGCGGGGTATAAATCCAATCTCTTCTTCTTCTTCTGGCCACACCCAGACTTAAGTACCTATAGACAGAGGAGAAAATAAAGTCAATCCAGACCTAATTCAGCAGCTGCCAGCATTCTCCCAAATAAGTGCATGTAGGATCGCTGAAAGGGTGCTTCTGTGTCTAGACAGATGTTGCTTAAGGTAATTCATAGTCATATCCAAACAGAAAAGCTATGTCATACATTTTATTAAGACCAACAAACACAGTGTGCAAACTTAAGGCCGTAGTCATGGGAGGCTGGTTAGTGTGCAGCCAGTGAGGCTTGCTCAAGACTACTAAGTGAAAGGGTTTTACTATTATGGCCTACATTTATGTGTAATACAAAAAGTATTTCCATAGAGTAAAATTAATTTATAGACGAAGGATGCAGCAGTGTTTACTGGCTTTGATTGCATGTGATAAGTGTATAGGAAATATGTCTATCAACTGCTGCTAAATATGATATTAGCTACATGAAACTTACATTGTTTCATGTAAATTTAGATTATCTCATGTAAATGTTTAGATTATCTCTAAACATTATGTGCTATGGGGAAGTACTACTGAGTTCCTACAGTGTTAGACAATGCACTGATGACACATCCAGGTTTTTGACCAGATGTGACATCGGCATGTAGCCCAATATCATTTTTGCCCCATCACTGTTTCTTCCACTGGCCTGAGATGCAAGGGCAGGAGGGAGGTCCCTTCCCTGGGAGATTGCCTGTTCCGAGTGGGATGCTTCCCTTTAATCTGGAAAGAGCATTATGAAAACATGAACTCTATGGACTCTTGTTACCAAAATGTATTTATGTATTCACAGAACTCCTTGCTCTTGGCAAGTCGTCCTTTACACTTTTGTAATAAATTCTTTTGCACCATCATTTCAAGCAAGAACTGAAAGGGCATATAACTCACAGGTGAGAGCCCTGTAATTTCTATAGCTACATGGATCATATTGTTAAAGAATGAAGCAGCATGCAGAACACATTCTGGACAAACAATTAAAATATATATTGTTTAGTGGGACTGTTAAGTCCATAGAACAGCTGTGCACTGTAGATCTCCGTTTTGATTTTTTAAATTTCATGGACCTGCAAGCCCTTCTTCCTCTTTTGCCACACAACCACATGTGCCTAATAATAATAATACTTTCCATTTATTAATCACTTTCCCCAGTGGGCTCAAAGCGATGTACCTTACTCCATATATAGACAAGGGACTAACAATGTTCATAGGGGATAGGGAAGACAACATATATTCACTTTAATTGCACGCACCGTCACTGCCTGGTGTAGACGTCTTCTGGCTGGCTCCGTCATTTTCCCGCACGGCTGTTTGCTGGCCAGGCCTCAGGACCCGTATGTCAATCGCCACACTGCCACCTCCTGGCCGGAACATCCATTGCAGGCATTCTTTTCGTAGCCGGGAAGCTGTTTCACCTTTACAAGCCTTGACCAGGACGTCCGACCGTCAGCTAACGCCCTCCCACAAGGGAGGTTGGCGTGCCCACCCTCTCTAAGGAGTGGTTCCCATTTTATCTACTCGCCGAAGCTTTCAAATCGCTGGGTGGATGATGAGCTGGGGACAACAGGCTGGCTGCTCACACCAGCGCGGGGCTTGAACTAACACAGTTCAGATGTTAAGACAGTGGGATATACCTACTGTGCCACCGCTCCCCTTTTTATGAAGGCTTCTATCTTCTTGTGTTCTTTTTTTATGTATATTTATTTTTAATTTTTCACAAAACAAAAAACAAAACATCTTACGATTTCGCTTACTGTAAGAGTGGTTGAGCAGTGGAACAGTCTGCCTCGGGAGGTGGTGGATGCTCCTTTGCTGGACGTTTTCAAGTGGAGGCTGGACGACCATATTTCGGGTATGTTGTAGAGCTATCTTTCGGCTATGCTCCTGCAGAGTGCAGGGGGTTGAACTAGATGACTTGCAACTCCCTTCCAACTCTAACATTCTATGATTCTATGATATCATGGTACCGAGATTCTTCCATTATTTTCGGTTTTATGAAATTACACTTTAAAGCAATGTAGGAATTCATCACTTTAAGGTTATTTCAATACATCTATAGACTCTTGACCATAAGTTCTCAAACACCTCTTCATTTTTACCTTGTAACATAAGAGTTAACTTTTCCATTTCCGCCACTTCTAACAATTTATATATAAATTCTTCCCTTGAAGGAGTTTTTTTTCTGTTTTCCACTGTTTGCCAAATAATATTCTTGCTGTTGTTACAACATGCAAAATAATGTAGACATCTAGCTTTTTGTGAATATCAGGAATTATATTTAACAAAAATATATCTGGTTTTAAAGGTATATTTGTATCTATTATTTTTTCGATTATCTCTTTAATCAAAATCCAGTATTTTTAGTTTTAGCACATAGCCACCACATATGGAAATATGTCCCCACATTTCGTTTACATTTCCAACAGTTACTTGACAGGCTCTTATAGTATCTACTTAGCTTATCTGGAGAGATATGCCACCTGTAAAACATTTTGTATACATTCTCTTTATAAGAGGTGGCTCTAATAAGTTTTATGTTTCCTTTCCATATCTTCAACCACTGGTCCAATTCTATATTATGTCCTAGATTCTGTGCCCTATCTTCTTGTGTTTTCCGAACAGTAGTGACTCCTATCAGCCATGCTTTAAAGCAGTTTTAAGAAAAATTATTTTAATTGTCTCTTCATGACCTCAAAGTATAGTTAATTCTATAAGGCTGCAACTCAAAATGTGCTTCCCTATGTTCAAATCAATCTCACCTTGATTGCAAGGACAGCTGAGCCAGAGATAGCAAGAAGTTTCCTTATCAAATACTTCTAAACAGGTGGGAAACTGCCTGGAAATACCTTTGAGTTGCTCACAGAAAAAGAACACCAGCATTACACGGAACTAGAACTTGCGGTATTCAACTGAAAATCAGGACTGGCTATTATTGTCTAGGGAAGAAGGATGACCTCTCTCTCCCCCCTCCCCTTCAAATAGCTTTTGACAACTCTGAGATTAGCACATTGTTGCTACGGCAAATTGGAGATGGGTGCTCAGAGTGACAGTGATTTATGACAAAGCACCAGTGGTATTGTGTAAACAGGAAAAAGTTGTCAAAAGCTGTCTTGATCCATACAAACTCCGTGTAATATATTTTAACTGACACAAAACATTGTGAAACCTTAACAGATCGTCACAGCTCAGGCTTAGGGAACCCACTTTTGTACCAAGCGGCGGTGGATGTTGTGTTCTGTCTACTCGATCCCGCTTTCTTTGCCGCGGCTTTAGATTTTCAGCAAAAACACTCCCCAAAAAAATCATTGCTGAAGCGAATACCGGCATCTTAAATGCCAGGATACAATCCACATAATATTGTAAGAAGATACCTTTTATTAGGACCAACAAAATGATGCAACATTATACGATCTTTCGGTTAGTCCTAACAAAAGGATTGTTCTTTATTACTTTTTATTTTATTCTTGGACCTACGCGGCTACTGACTAGCCTATCGTAAGCGCCGGCCACTTTCCGGCATGCGCAGTACGCTTCCTACACCGCCCAGGAAATGAGGACTGAGCCTCCGCTAGTTTTCTTGTCACCTCGACCAGTGCGTTAAAATAAGGGCGGAAGTGAACCCAGTACAGCGTCAAGATGAACTACCATCGTTCTAACTCGGAGCCCTGCCTACTTTCTTCCTTTTCCCGCTGGTTGCTAGGCAATAGGAGAGCGCGAACTGGGGCGGGGCTTCAGGGTCACGTCGAGATACGTTCAGGTTGAGGGCAGATCCAAGATGGCGGCAGGAGCGGGGACGCTGGGGTGCTTGGCCCGGTGCAGGCCGGTGGTGGTAGCCGGGCGCTTTCGCGGATCCCCGCGGCGGGCCCTCCACGCCTCAGTGCCTGCCGCGGCTCAGGTAAAGGGGGCTGGAGCCGGGGCTACCTTTCGGGGCGAAATTGAACCGAGGACCCCCTGCAGGTGGAGGTCGGGGTCCCCTTGGAGCTCTTGCCGGGGAAGGTGCCGTGGATAAGGTTGCTGCATTGGGTGGGGAACTCCTCTCTCCGCCTCTGTGTGTCTGGCCCTGAGGGTGGCTGGGGCTCTAGAGTACTTTGGGAGCCCCGTGTTTGGAGGATGAGGTTTTCCCCTTCCTTTGGGGCAGTTGTCCCCCCAGCTTCGTCGCAGGACTCGTGCCGATGATTCCTGAGAAGCTGAGTTCGGGCTTGTTTTTGCCTTGTGGGAAAATGGTTTTTAGGACTTAGTGGTAACAGGAGCTGTAGCAGTCTGTGTGACCAATTTCTAGAGTCAGATTCTGGAAGCAGAAAATAGGCAGAATGTGAAGGTAAGTGGTCTGGGGATGACTTCTTTTTTTTTAAAGGATTTGAGTGTTGAACTAGGGCTTGGGAGGCCCAGGTTCACATTTCTGCTCTTGCTTTGAAGCTTGGACCAGTCACTCTGTCTCTGCCAGACCTACCTCACAGGATTGTTGTAAGGATAAAATGAGGAAGAATCATGTAAGGCACTTTGAGCTCCTTGGAGGAAAGGGCAAGATTAAGGAAAACATGAGTTAGGTAAATGAAATGTGTGACTTCTTTCTAGAAAGCTGTTTATATTGTTCCCTTATTTGAATCTCTGGATTCAGATTGCCTCTGTTCCTATTTTAAAGGAAGTGGGGTGTTTTAGAACCTCTTAATTGCACTAATGCTGTATATAAAAATGTGAATATGTATTTAAGGGTGAAATACCCCTGTTATGTTGACATGTACATGCGTTTCAGCTGCCTCGCTGTGCTGTGGCTGTCATGCCGTTGCCACGCACTGAGCACTCAGATCTGCTCAGTTACTCAGGGTTCACTGGTGAGCAAGGGCTCTGGAGGGTTGCTTAAGTCAGGAGAGGTTAAGTTAGGGCAGCTACTTGAGAAGAGCAAAAACGTGCCAGTGATCAAAATTAGATACCGGCTGTCCTTGATAACTGGAGGGGGGGTGTATGGAGTCTTTGCCAAAACATTTTAACTAATACAGCATTTGTAATATGCTGTAATAATATGAAGACTTTCTTTTCTAAGGTGGGAAGAGGGATTTTTATGTATGCATAGTGGTGCCTTGGGGGCATCATTTTGCCCTGCTGGGCAAAGGCTTTGCAGTGCTGTTTGTAGAAGGCATCCGTTAAATCCCTGGCTCTGCAGTGGGTGGTATGAGAGCCTTCTGTGGGATCACGGGACTCTTGGCAGAAGACTAATAGCCCAGTTCTTTAGTCCCTTGTGAAATAACAGTTGCAGGATGAAAGTGTAGCTGAAAAGTGTTAAGCAGCTTTGCTTTCTGGTTTTTGAGCATGTGCTGTGGGAGGATAGAGCAATTATGTTACTGTGTACAGCCTTGCGTCTTGATGTCAGATCTCCCAGATTGTTGCATTGTGGCTGTTATTGGTCTGAAAGAGATCTTGATACTGTTGGTAGTCTAAGGGAAATAACTTTTTTCAGTTCAACACAAAATCAGATGTTAGGAACCAGGAAGAAAAGCCTACGAAGCTAAGTAGAAGCTTTCATGATTGATGCTGCTCAAAGATCCTTCCCATTCACGTGAACTTGGTCAGATGAAAAACCTAATGAGCTCTCTTTGAGCCTGCTCCTCCTCCTTGCTGACAAACTTAGCAAAGGAAAAGAGCAAATCTGACTGGCACGCTGCTTGTCTTTCTTCTGCTTCAGAGATTTGCATTGCTGGAAACAATGGGTGAGTTGCCCACTGTTAAAATGACTGGTGCCTGAGAGTAAGACCTTTGGAACAGACCTGGACAGGATTCTGTGTAGACCTGGCTTCTCTAAGCGTGTTGGAAAACATCTTTGCCATTCTCTCCTACCCGTTTTGTTCTCGTCTAAGACAGAGATCCCATCAAACACCCTAAGCCAGAGGTCCCTACCAAACTTGCAGCCCAAATATTACTTATTCTAGATGATAAAGGTTTCAGAGTGATTACTCTAAACAGTTTGGATTGTGGCCTCAATATGTCTCTTCATCAACAGGTGACTGTCCGCGATGCTTTAAATCAGGCCTTGGATGAGGAACTTGAGAGGGACGAGAAAGTTTTCTTGCTTGGGGAAGAAGTGGCTCAGTATGATGGTGCATACAAGGTAAGACTGCTTAGAAAGGGCAGTGTGATTCTTAGAACGGCAATATGGCATAACAGCTTAAACACACATACCCTTATTTTTTTACATCTATAGATTAGCAGAGGGCTCTGGAAAAAATATGGTGATAAGAGGATTATCGATACTCCTATATCAGAGGTATGCATTCTGGGCCTTTTTAATTTTTTATGTTTTAATACTTCATCCTAAAAAGATTTCCCTGCCATTCCATTCAGTCCGTTTTAGTTAAACTGCTTTTTAAGTCATGGTGGAGCGAAGATCTTTATAAAAAAAATTTCTTTACTCTTTTTTCAGATGGGATTTACCGGAATTGCTGTAGGTGCTGCTATGGTAGGTCACTTCCTTTAGGATTTTTAAAATAAAGAAAATCTAAAACAATTCATTCTTGTGTTTGAAAAAATGCTAGCAAGAGTTATTAAAGCAGCTACTTTATTTTAATAGGCTGGCTTGAGGCCCATTTGTGAATTCATGACCTTCAACTTCTCAATGCAAGCCATTGACCAGATCGTAAACTCAGCTGCCAAAACCCACTACATGTCCGCAGGGTTGGTGCCTGTGCCCATTGTCTTCCGGGGTCCCAATGGAGCCTCTGCAGGAGTAGCGGCCCAGCATTCGCAGTGTTTTGCAGCCTGGTATGGGCACTGTCCCGGACTGAAAGTAGTGAGTCCTTGGAGTTCAGAGGATGCAAAGGGTCTCCTTAAAGCATCGATCCGGGATGATAATCCAGGTGAGTGAAGCCCTGAGATCTATGTGTGTGTTTGTAATGCTTAAGTGCTAGCTTTTGGGTTAGTTTCTGCAGCTCAGTAGCATTTCGCAGGCAACCCTATCTTGTGGAATGTGCACTGTGCTTAAACTGTTCTGGGTTTGAGTGAGAAATGGGTGCAGTATCACCTTGTGAATGCACTGCTACTGTCTTGATAAGATCCATTCATTCCACTGTTATTCTTTGTGCTTGAGCCAGAGTGGGACTAAGTCGTTATTATTGGCCAGATAATTCAATAGAACGTCTTCCAACTGTGTACTAAATTCCCTAAATTTTAGGTCTGGCTGCTTGTTCTGTGAGCCCAAGGGGGTTTAGAAATAGTGTTCACAGCCTCTGGGGCAACTTGGCTGACAGTTTTGGAAACCGAGGGAAGTTTTCACAGCCATTTGTAATACGGCAGGGAGCTGAGTGAGTGGGGTCACCAGTCCAAAAAAGAAAAAGGCAAACATTCCCTTGAGCAGATCTTTGGACCCCAAGCCACAGATACAGTTATGCATGTCTGCATTTGATATGCTTACCTGAATATAATTTTCATAGAGTTGGATCTTTAAAAAACATGAAGTTGTGGTAATTTCTTTTTTTGCTGCCTCCTGCTTCTCCTGCAAATTGTTCCACAGCTCACACACAAGGATGGGGCCACAACTACTGATTCCGCCTTCTAGCTGCAGGCTCCCTGCATTGCATTGCTCACCATTCCTGAGGGATCCCCCAGCCCTTTGGAGTAGATTTTGGGGGTGTAAGAAGGGAGAGGAGAGCAAAAATCCCTTCCGCTAGATTGCTATGTTTTTTTAAATAATATTTTTATTAGTTTTCAAACATAAAAAGGAAAGAGACAACTTCAACTTATCTTATATACAGCAGAGTACACAAATATAACAAATTCATTCTGATTTTCTCATCTTTGCCCTATAAATCATGCATCAATGCGTATTCCTAACAGAAAAAACTGCAGATTTAATTGATCTGACATCTAATTACCTCATTCGTCAGAAAAACATTTTCAACTTGGTAAATCAAAACTTGACAATTGCATTCTATAATTTCCAGTTCATCTGTATAGTTAAACTCATAACAATATTTAAGGGTAACTTTAACAATTAAATTCATTATTATCAATTACTAGAAATTGTATTTGTTAATATATCTATTCTCATTTAACAATTACTTAACAAGTATCTGTAGCATTTTATTCAAATAAACCTCATCTTTTCTATTCCCATATATCTTACTTTACAGACTTGTAATTTATTTGTATTACTGGTTAAGCTTGTTACAGTAATCAGGGGAAACCAACACCATTCCACCTACTTAATAGTTTAGCACATTTTTACTTTCACTAGAAATTATTTGTTAGTTTATTAAAACAGTAATTATTTTCTTACCTATTCTCTTTTAACCACTACTTGACCTGTAGCTATAATATTTTATTTAGATAACCTCATATTATCTACTTCCTTGCTTCTTCCAAATTATCTATACCAATACTGTTATTACTATCCAACTAAAGGCTAATTGTATTCATGTTTGAGAACTTCCCACAAGAGAAGGAAATTAAAAAACAAACAAACTGTAAGCAGGAAAGGGTAGAAAATTACTAAATTAAAGTTATCATTCATCTTTCAATCATCCTGTTGTAAAATGTTTTACACTGAGCTTCATTTTCTCCAGTACACATAAGAAAAAACTATTCTAGACTGCAAGTCATATTGCTTGATTTTTTTCTTAATTTTCTGTAACATCTTTTTTTAACAATCATGCTTAAATGTTTTATCTCTTTATATACATGAAGTTTTGCTTACAATTCTTCCCATCGAAATTTCAAAACACAAATTTTCAGGCTTTTACTGCTTCCACTATGTCTACTAAATTTCCTTGCATGTCGCTCTTCTCTTTCTTTAACCAGTTGTCAGCTCATTGAGTAAAAGTTTTTGAGAGTCTCTTTTTACCATTTTCAACACTATCGGATTCCTTGCCTGGTTCCTTTAAACTAGGCATTTGGTTAATAGAGTTTCCAGATCCTTTCGTGAATACAGGCGGTGTATCATGTAACACGTTCCCTTGGTAGTAGCCCGGTTCTTCAACAAGAGTTTGTTGGAGTTGCAGATTTTCCAAATCCTGATATGAGCTCTTATTTTCCAAATCCTGATATGAGCTCAGAGCTTTCTCCAGGAGATTCTTTCATGCTACCTCAACCGCTTGCTGAACTTCATCTATCACAAACTTTTTAAACTGCTCCCAAGTGAGTTGCACAATCTCTGGGCTCGGCAATTCCTCCATCTCCTCTATATCCATTACTAACGCCATTTTTCTTATTCAGCCGTGTATACTAGTTTCATCACAATAATCACTATAATTCAAGTGTGAATGTCTTGCAAACGTTACTCCTCTTGATCGTGAATTCCAACAAATAAAGATGTTTTCTTGCCCCCAAGAAACGTTCAAGCAATCTTTACTCTCGTTCTCTTCCCTGCCGCTGTTCATAATTTTATGGGACATTAAAAAGCGGTATTTTAATGAAAGTCGTCATATTTTAGTAGTTAAAACTACGCATACTCACGTTGTAGTTCTTATATACTCTGCTGTAGATTTTGTTATGTCAAGGTTGCGATAGTCTCTAAAAGGGCGTTCGCAGCTTAACAAAACATGGTGGCCATGTTTGCTCCATTCCTTGCTCCTGCTTCGAGACATTCACGGCCTCCCCCGCTTGCAGCCGCTCGCGGGGTGACCGGACAAGTCTCCTGTTGCCTGACCTCCCTCCAAGCGAGCCGGTGAAGTCCAACAAGATCACAAGGACTTGTGTGGCCCCAGAAGGGGCAAGAAAGGTCGGGGATAATCGGGAACGTCCCGAAAAATCACCCGCGGCGCCACGCCGCTGCCCGGCGGTGCTCCCTATGTTCATAGCTCTTTAGGGTACAGCTCATAATTTCTTCTGAATGGAATGTTTTTGGCTTGGGCAGCTGTAAAGTTTGGAATTTTCTTATGTTGGTGGAAGAGAACTGAGAGGACTTTGGAGGGAAAGTTGTAGATAGTTTGAGTAAGAATTTGGAACTCTGGAAAAGAGATGGATATGAACTTCAGACACTTGGCATATAGGGTGCCAGGATAGGGAGCTGAGAGACAGTGTACAGATCAGTAGAAGTCCCATCTAGAGTTCCTCTGACTTCTGAATCTTGAAGCAGATAGTGCTTAGGAGTTTTTCAAGCATTCTGCTGCCCAGAGGTTTAGAACTTCATGAAAGTTGCTCAGAACCAGTGATCAGGTTGTGTGCTTTGCAAGATTTTAGACACTTATTTGTACAGTTTTATTTAAGAGGTAGGCTTAATTAAGTTAATTAGAAACAATTTAATTAGACTAACTAGGTGCTCCTCTGAAGGAACAGCAAAATGTGAGCTATGACCTTATTTCTTTACCCTAAACCGTGCTAGTTTTCCAACTGTTTATGATCATTTCATGCCTTTATCAGCTCACCTTTGATACAAGTCAAGTGACTGCATAAAGTTGATACGAGATTGAATCTAAGGTGAAGTAACTAGAGCCACGCACGCATTCTTAACTTCATACACTGTAAATCCGTGTGTAATGAGACTGGTCCATCTAAGGGATTTTCAGGACTTTGGGATACATGTACCCCTGAGTCCAAATTTCTAGGACTGCCATCGGTTGTGCACTTGTCATGAACTAACACATTCTTCCTTACCACCTTTTTACCTGCTTTTGTGTGCTTTTTCACTTCTGGTTTTGTACCATAGTACCAAACTAAGATCCTCCATACCAAACTGAGTCAAACATGAAACAAGAGGCTATGGTTAAATCTACTGACATAATTTTGAACCACTGTTTATAGATCTGTTTTGGATATTAAGAGTGTAATTGTGATTGCAATTGCTGTATTGTTTTGATGTTGCTTTTGGCATTTTGGCATTATTTGCTAAGGCTTTGAGCCAAAGTTATAAAGTTTACAAATTTTGAACCATGAAAAAGCAGCTACAGAAGGATCCATTTAGTGTTGGGGGAGTGGCTTGAGGATGAGGTTAAACTTTTCCCCCTCCCCAAGCTACATTACTAGTAGAAACCATTATCTTCTGAGCTGCTTTTAGAAGCCAGTAAGAAAATAAGCGTGACATTTTATAATACATGTCTGTTTTCCCTATTGAGGCTAATAGCTGTGTAAAAAGGTAAAGGTTCCCTTGCTCGAAAGCCAGTCGAATCCGACTCTAGGGTTGCGGTGCTCATCTCTGTTTTAAAGCCGAAGAGCCAGCGCTGTCCGAAGACGTTTCCGTGGTCATGTGGTCGGCATGACTAAACACCAAGGCACGCGGAACGCTGTTACCTTCCCACTGAAGTGGTACCTATTTATCTACTTGCAATGTCTTGCTTTCGAACTGCTAGGTTGGCAGGAGAATAGCTGTGTAGGAAAGTGGTAATTTTACTGAGGAAATGATGTAGGAGGGAAACAGTTATATTCACCCCTTGCTGTGGTACTGATCCAATGGTGCCCCCCCCCCAATGCTGATTTGCACACTTTTGTCTTATCACACACATGAATAATTTCATCGGAAAATTCCAATGCGTATTCTCTTATTTTCTTCACAGTTGTAATGCTGGAAAATGAACTGATGTATGGCGTTCCCTTTGAAATGTCTGAGGAAACTCAGTCAAAGGACTTCCTTGTTCCTATTGGAAAGGCTAAAGTAGAAAAACCAGGTAGGCCACGCTAGGTATTTGCACTGTGATGGTGGCCTTTGCTCCAAAGTCACTCGGGAGAAATTCTTCCCTCCTTACATAGTAGATGCATATTAAAGGACCTGTGCTGTATGGAAACATACACTCTAGCCAGTTAATTTCCCCATCCCCTGTGAAAGCGTGGGCTTCTGCATATGCTGGGCTGGAATCAGGTTTATTTCCCTCAGTACCAGACGGGATTTTTTTCAGCCCATCAGTTTTGCTTTCCAGCAACAGGATTGGTTTTTGGCATGGCAGATGGGACATCAAGCCAGTTTGTTCACTCTGTGTGTGTGTGTGTACCCTTTCTCTGGAGTCAGCACAGGCCGCACAGTTCAAAAAGGAAAGAACAAATTTGAATAATAAAATGTAATTAAAAAACACACCCTTGGGCAGCATGGTGGCCAGTAGACAATCTTTAAAGTCTAGGAACATGGGCTGAAATATCTGCATCCTAGTATTAGCATCATTGGGACTTTCTGTTTCAGGAACCCACCTTACCTTAGTGGCTCATTCTCGATCTGTTGGCCACTGTATGGAAGCAGCTGCTGTTCTTGCCAAAGATGGGGTGGAATGTGAGGTATGTTGTCATTTTATGGGATAATCCACAGTGAAACCTATTCTAGAGCTATTTTTGTATAGCAGTATTTTAGCGACAGCTTCATACGGTCAACCCGAGTCAGTGCTGGAACAATTTAGTCACAGGTGACAGAAGATGGTTTGGGAGAGGTCGAGCTTCGCTGCATCGTGTGTGAGGGGAGGGAAAAGGTAGTAACCTTTTCTCTGAAGGCAAGGGGATATATGCCCTGCACTCAACTCTTTGCTGAATAATGCCAAATTCTGGACCAATTTTTCCTGTTTATCTGGACTGTATAAACTGTTCCGATTAAGCAAGTGTTTATTAAGGGATTCAGACTAAATTATCTGTTAATGTAAACAGTAATTTCCACCCGTTTCCCCCTTCCTGCTTCAGATCCCTGATTTGGCTTTCATGTTGTTCCTGAGGGTCTCCTGTCACCTAGGGGGCCAGCATGTTGAAGAGAAGAGCAGGTGGGGAACATTTTTTTCCACTGACAGAGAAGGACCTTTGAGTGGAAAATTTAGACCAGAGCTTTCAATGGCTATTTGACCTATCATTTAGATGAAAATTGATGCTGCCTTATACTACATCAGCCTTATTCTCCCTTGAGCTGCCCTCGGTTGATAACAGCTGGCCAGAGTTTCGAGCAGAGGTCTATCCAAGACTGGTTGAGATCTTTTAATTGGAAATGCCAGAGGTTAAACCTTAATCATTTATACATGCAGTACATGTTCTCTACCATTGATTTATACATCATTTGACTAAATGTAAAAAAAAAATATCATTTGACTAACTTAATTTTTTTTTGCCAAAGCTTCCCATCTCTGGGGAAGGAATGCTGCTTTTGTGTGTACACCTCATGTTGGGAAGGCACCATCTTAACTGAGAAATTAACTCTTGAGTATAGAGATTTAGAAATCGGCTTGAAACTTGTTTAATTACTTAAGAGCTGTTGCCTGCTTAAAGCAAATCCATTTTATATACTTACCTTGCATAATTTCTGCATAGGGTGCCAATGTTCCACCCCGACTATTATGAACCCTACTCAGTCTCCTCTCCCCCACGCCCATGCAACCACATGCTTTTAGAGACCACAAAGCATTGCCACTCGCTTTGAATAACTTCATAACCATAAATACTGTGGCAGAAGAGAAGGAATTCAACTCCCCGCTGCCATGGGATGCATATTTTTTTTTTAAAAAAAGGCCTTGATTCTCAGCATGTTTATTCCACTTCGGTCAAGCTTTGCGCTTGCTGTTCAGATGGTCCCCATTGATCGAGCTAGGCTTAAGCAAGAGCACAAAAGCTTTGTATAGTGTGGCTGGGAATGTGTTTTTTACACTCCCAAGGAGAAACAAACACACTGATTACACAGGGTGTGTGTGCGTGCATGCAGCAGATGGCTTGGTTGCTCTGTACTCACACACAGCCATTTTACACCTTGAACAAGGTGAGACCATTGCTTACTGGCAAAGTTGGCCTCCTGTTTGACGACTCTTGGGGAATACAAGTCTTCAGCTCTCTTTCCTTCTTCAGGTAATAAATCTTCGTACTATTAGACCAATGGATATTGATACCATTGAAGCCAGTGTTGTGAAGACAAATCATCTTGTAACGGTGGAAGGGGGCTGGCCGCAGTTTGGAGTCGGAGCTGAGATATGTGCCAGGATTATGGAAGGTATTCTGAATGTTCTTAAAGTTGGTGCTAGCTATCCCTGTATGCCTTTTTTAGGATGCGTGGGGAGGAGGAAGAGTTACACATAAAGGGAAATTGCATCCCAGCTGTGGTATTTGTCTAGATCCTTGTCAGGAAAGCAAAGTTTGCCTTTCCTGTAAATAATCAGCTGTAGGAGCCATCGCATTCTTTCAAGTAGGGCGATCTTTCATTACACTTGTTGATCTCTGGCTTACAAACTGCATTTGTCCTTTAATGCTAGTGAGGTTTCTAACTGAAATCCTAAATTGCAGGGAGTATTTCTAGTACAGCTTATCTAACCAGAAATTAAATTGTGGGAAACGGCAATAAAGGAAGGCACTGGAGTCCTTTAATTTTGTTCTGTTTTGCATAAATTTAAGAAGAAGACAAGGATTTCAGTCCACCTTCCTGCCTGTCTAAAACCAGGAGTGCAATCTTCACTGGATGAGACTTTGAGCTGGTGTGTCAGTGCTGAGCTCTTTCTGTATGTCCATTTTTTAGATAGATAGATAAAAACCACAGCTGTACTACAGGTAGAAGATCCAGGGCTTCTCTTCTCCCCCCCTGGACCTGTCGTAACCCCCTTTACCTTGAGAAGGGAATCTTTACATTTTGTTCTGATTCCAGGTCCTGCTTTCAACCACTTGGATGCTCCAGTTGTTCGTGTCACTGGTGCAGACGTTCCTATGCCTTATGCAAAGACTTTGGAGGAGAACTGTATACCTCAAGTGAAGGATATAATATTTGCAGTGAAGAAAACACTAAATATCTAGTGTTTTGTGTATATATATATATCTATATAAGTGCTTCTTTCGGACTTCAGTCTTTAAAAATATTTATGGAATGTATTTGTCATTATATTGTGGGCTGGAGGGGAGCAAAAACAATATTAGATGCCTAATCTGTTACAGGGACTATAGTGTCTCCCATCCTACTTCTAAGAAGAAAATACAAAGGGAGAATTGACAGACGTTAACCTTTTGTAATTTGTATTTTATGTAAAGAACTCTCATTGTAAGATGATGATCTTGTTTATCATTGCACAACTGAATCTGACATCCCTAAATATATCATCAAGACTCTTTATGCTCATCTTGTAATCTATAAAGCATGAAATAAAGGACATGAACAGAAATAGTTGTCCAAAACTGGAGTACACTTTACTGGCTTGGGGGGGGGGGGCAGCTTGTACTTTAGCTGCAGAATTCTAATGGCTCCATTTCAAAAGTATCAGGAACATGCTGGGTTAAGTATGATTTAAAGTAGTGCATCTATACTATAACAACCTTTGGTACTGTATTTGTTAATTTTAGACAAGTAAAACCCCAGAACTTAAAGGCATTCCATGTTTCATTGTTACTTTTCTGCTACAAAGCATAAAACCGCTGCATTATCCCTCTTTAAACCAATGAAACTCCATTGACATTTATTTTAATAAAAATATGATTGAGTATATCACAGGTTACATGAACTCCTATACACAATGACATTCTCTGCATAGTAACACACACTGATGTATACTTGACTTTAAAAATGGATTCCCAACAATCCTTTAAAGTGCAATTTAAGGGTTTGAGTAAAACCAAAAGGACATGTTATTATAGAGCTCCCTCAAGTTCCAGCTCTACAAATCTGTCTTGTAAAATTTTTGTTTGGTGGAAAACCCACTGTGCCCCACATTTTGAATAAACGCAGAATAGCGGAATATGAAACTAATTCTGGAACTGTACATTCTTCCAAGTATTGTCACTCTAATAGGGGGATTCAACAATATTAAGAGTAAGAGGCTAACAAACACTGTAGGGAGAGAAGCAGTCCTAACTTTCTTATCAGTGTTAACGCTCAGATTAAGTGAATTTTAGAACAGTTAAAACCAAAATGCTTCAAACATCAATATATCAGGCTTAGACTTTTAAAAGCCCTTAAAAATCAGGGCCAAGAAAGTGTCATTGATGAACAACTTAATTTTATTCAATTAGGGAGAAAGGAATTTACTGCCTACTCAAAACAGTATTCCCTTAAAAAAAAAGGAGTTCCTTTAAACTGGAATTGACACTTTTCACATCTCTCCCCCTCCCCAATGCAATCTGCAATAGTGTTGCTACTCACTGAAAAGATTTGTCTAGAAAAAGCTTGAAATGGCTCTTAAACAAGCAGCTGTAAAAAGAAACCACAAGGCTGTGGTTCAATAAAATTTTCAGATAAATCTCTGTTCATAAGAACACACACAGTATATCCAAGCTGGGTTGGTGTAAACAGTTTCAGCTGATTTTCGGAGCACTGTGGTCACATGTTTCTGTTTTCTTCAAGGCTCCTTTCTGAAAATTCTGGATGGAACTGAGTAAGGCGCCCCGGCTTGTGCTGTTAACAGGCCGTGAGTCAGACTGCATTGGCACATCCAAATTAGGAGGAGGGGGAGGAGCTGCTGGTGGCGGAGGCGGTGAAGGAATTGTCGAGGCCCCTGCTAAGGAGAAAAATACACCCGTTAAGACTAAACTCTGGAATGGGCTGAGATGGGCCAAATGTACAGAAAAGAAAAATTGTAAGAGGAGGAGTCATGCAACATAAAGAAGCCACAAAGTGATTTGTTTTCATTAATAAAACTGCAGGCATAAGGGAGGAGGATGAGTACATACACAGGCAGGCATATGGCGGTGTTCTATACAGTCATGAGGGTTAGCAACTGGAGAAAAAAAAGCTGGGATTCTCATTTCAGGAAAGTCTGAGCCACAGGCTGACCCCCAGGAAACCCACATGCAGCTGGAAGCCCAAACACTCACAAATTTGAACACACAGGACAAGAGACTACAGAGATGAACACAGGCTTGTTTAAACAAGATGTCAGCCTTCCAGACTTTGACCAAGTGAAGCAGCATAGCAAGGTGCCTACATTTTATTATCAAGTGCTCAAAGCCAGTCCACTCCACTAGAAACTCAGTAAAAACCCATAATACTGTAGTTACATAAGTGAAAGCTGATAGCAATTTCCCATACATACCTATGATGAAGCACCATTAAATTTTCTTTATCGCAGTATAGGGAAAAAACATGCACCCCCAATACATGTAATTTACACGTGTTGGCAGTTGGTTCAAAGTGTGTGTTGGATGTGCAATAATCACACAAGATGGTGTATACATGGTTCCTACATTCATGGACAAGAGTGATATGAGAGCTCTTAATTTTTAGATGATTCTCTACCACCTCCAAATGGCTTTATATATACATGTGCAGACTGTTATGTCAGACATAACAGCTTTGTTGTGGGTAGAAGCCTTCAAAGTCTCTCCCTTGCACAGGGATCCAAGATGAACAATATCCTGCTTTGTAACAAGCTATATTTGTATGCTATGACATCCAAAACAAGGTTGTTCCCTTTGCTTACAAAACAGGGTTTCACATGAAAGAACAAACCACAGGTTGTCATTTCTCATTCAGACATTATGACAAACTGATTTGTTGCAAATGAGGAAGGCTTTGGTCTGAGCTGTGCATTAGTCCAGGAGGATCAGGTGAGCTCAGGGATTTCTAAGGCCTTATAAGGACAAACTGTGGCTTGTCACTGTTTGACTAGAACCACACAAACTACTGTCTATAATGTACAGCTTATGCTAGACATACTTAGAATCTGTCCAATATAAGAAGAGTGTAATTTGACCAGAGGTGCACAGAAGTGCCATGAGTCTTCCATGGTATATTTTTCTGTGCATACAATGGGCATCTCTAAGCCATTCATCAATAATCACTGTGGCATCTACTTGTTACTAGGAGGACTAATATTGTGCCCCATGTGCATTTTTAATAATATACAGTGATACAGAACTTTTTGAAATGGATTCCTTAGGTGCTTCCAGTTAGGGCATCTGCTTTCATAAGGAGGAGGAGATTGGATTTATACCCCGCCCTTCACTACCCAAGGGAGTCTCAGAGCGGCTTACAAACTCCTTTCCCTTCCCTTCCCCTCCCCACAACAGAAACCCTGTGAGGTAGATGGGGCTGAGAGAGCTCTAACAGAAATTGCTCTTTTTCAAAGACAGCTGTTATCAGAACTACGGCTTGCCCAAGGTCATCCAGCAGGTGCAAGTGGAGGAGTGGGGAATCAAAACTGGTTCTCCCAGATTAGAGTCCGCGCACTTAACCACTACTATTAGTCGTTCCCTATTCCCGAAAATCTTATAAGTGGATTATTAATGGCAACAAACTTGAACAGGTTAAGCACTTCAAATATCTGGGCATTTATTTCCAATCCAATGCTACTTGGTCCTACCATTGTAAAATGGCTATTAATGTAGCAAAAGTTAGTGCTGCAGCAATTTCTCACTTGTATTTTTCTGTTCGAGGTAACCAGTATGTGCCAGCTGCACTTAAAGCCTTTAATGTTAAAACTGGAGCTCAGTTACTGTATGGGGCACCTCTCTGGATTGACGCAGTGGACTTTTCAGTTGAACTTGTCCACTCCATCTTTCTGCGAACTATCATGGGGGTACATATGTGTGTCCCATATGCTGCTTTATGTTTGGAGTGCGGTCAGAATTTTCTGGGTACTAAGGCATGGATCCACACTATTAAATTTTGGTTACGACTCCATTTCAACTCTGACCCCTTCAGTTATATGTACCAACTACTTTCTGAATCTGTTAATTCCAGCCGGCTATCTTACATCGAAACCAAAATAAGGTCCCGGAATTTGTCTCTAGAATCCTTATATATGCTTTCTGAGTCTCAGGTCTTTTAAAAAATAAAATCTAGTTTATTGGGATCAGAGCGACACACTCTGGCTAACAGAACCTGTTCTCCCTTAAATCTGGGGATTGTTCCTAATGCAAATCTTCCAGCAGTATACCTCTAACTCATAGCTCCAAATTTGCATAGAGCCATATCCTTGGCTAGATTTAATGTTCTTCCTTCAGCTATCTTATCTGGCAGATTCTAAGGGATTCCCTATCCTAGCAGGTGCTGTGTTGAAACTGTTGCCCATGTCCTCCTCCAGTGCCCTCTCTATTTGGCGTCCCGTTGGGATCTTCTATATCCCATATTGGCCAATTTTTAGGGACCCCTGATTATTTTAAGCTCCTTTTCTTGCTCGATGATACAGAAATAACTGAAATAATAGCAAAGTTTCTCTGCAGTGCCATGGTCCTACAGCCTGATAAGTGATATTATGAATTAGGTTTTATTGTGATGTTACTCTGCAATTTTAATTTTACTCGGCATGATTTTGTATTTAGATTACTGTATATTAATTCATATGCCAATAAAAGGCTTTGGACTTAACCACTACACCAAACTGGCTCTCAGAGATAGAGTAGCATTCCTTAGCATGGAAGGTACATTTAGGGGACAGTTCCTTAATGTAATTGTTGAGCACGCACTGCATAGTTAAAAATCCATGACATGCCTCAGGTAACGTCCCAGTTGTGAAAAACTCAGCCAACGCTTCACTGTTGTGGTCTCACAACTCCCCTTGCTTTCCTAAGGATTCATTCATATGATATGGAGAAAGCCGAAGTCTATGACCCCCTTATAGTTGCTTGGGCCACCACAGAGTAAGGATGCACACAGCTGACTCCCACAAAGCACAAGTGAAAGGTACTTGCAGACGCTGATCTTCCAAGTGTTCCCCTTCTGCCAGTGGCCCCTTTGGACCAGCAGAAAGTTGGCGCCCGGGGGTGGAGAAGCCTGCAGTGACGAGGGGGCTGTTCCTCTATGTGGACCCTGCAATCCCAGGAATGTATTTTCCAAGACCCAGAAGAGGCCACAGGAATGGAATGTGAGGCAATTCCACATGCCTTCCGTGCACATGTGGGCTGGACACAGGCTGGGATTTTCAGCATTTTCAACAGATCAAAAATTGCAAAAAGACTATTTGCTCAGGTTTGTCAACATCCAATTTTACCAACTAACTTTGGCTCAGGTGGTCATCTTTTTGATTAATTAGATTTTGATGTACTTGAGAATATGAAAAACAATCCCACTACAGCAGAGGTAGACCAAGCAGCCTACTGGCCACAGCCTCTCTTACAGAAAGTCACCACACGGTAGCAGGACTGTATTGCATTACCATCAGTGGCTATTAGCTACAAAGCATAGATAGGAACTCTCAGTCTGGGGCAAGTGATGCACTGTCTTCTTGGTGCTTGGCAACAGTGGGAGGGCTTCTAGTGTCCTGGCCCCACTGCTGGACCTCCTGATGGCACCTGGTATTTTTGGCCAATTTGTGACAGAGTATTGGACTGGATGGGCCATTGGTCTGATCCAACATTGGCTTCTCTTATGTTCTTATAGCCCTAGTGGCCTGGATGTGGCTCTCAGTCCACAGGCAGGCTATCCATCCTTCTGCTATTCATCACACCAAGCCAAAGGGCTGCTTTAATGCTTCCTATTATGTATACATTTCCACCAGACTCCGAACCCCACCCCAGGGTTGCATATTTTAAAGAAGGGCTTCCCACTGTCTTTTGGGAGACAAGCCCAATTTGATCGTTTTTGCTAATGATCGGCTTCACAGGATAAATCAAGTCTGATCTCTGCCTTAACATGGGCTGTATCTACACGCTGCTGGACGTTGTGCTCTCATTGTGGTACAGCAGTCATTCACACCCGGATGCTCCTGTCTGGACAAGACAATCCAGGAGGGGGAATAGGTGCTGTAGTGCAGCATCCAGTGATGCACAGATGCAGCCAGGGTATGAACATGCTGATAGCCCCAAGGGAACAAAGATTCAACAAGTCTTTCCAGTCAGATGCCAACAAAACTTTTATTCCGGCAAGGAGAATCTCTCCCTATTTCATTAGTAACAGGTACAACATGACAAAACAAATGCAGTTGCAGAAAAAAATAAAAGAGCGCATGGCAAAAAGTGCATGGTGGAGCACAGAACATGCAAGGAAGCGGCAGCATTACCAGTCAGTTGCCTGACACAGATCAACTGGCACATGTAGATCAGACGAGTGGACAAAAGCAACATCCCAAGCAAATGTATCTAGAGTTGTATTTTCAGACGAGGTGGGGCAGTTAAATAAGCAAAACCCAGCCCAGCTCGTGCAAGAGGGCAGAAGCAGAGACGCCAAACGCAAAAGGCAAGGGAGCAGCAGAAGGCAAAGATCAAAGCAAAAACCAAACAAAAAAGGAAGAGCTCAGCTGCTAGGGCACATGGAGGACAAGAGACAAGAAAGATCAAAATACGGAGAATCCAATGACAGGTATATTTAAGGCACTTAGAACTAACACAGCATTACCCTCCCTCAGTCGCTCAATACAGTCCTTGCGAGTTCCATCCTTAGAGATCCCTTACTAAGCACAAGTTAATTTTTCCTAGCTGCTAAGTGGCTAGTCTTGAATGTCCCTTTCCAGAGGACTGTTTCAACGTGCAAATAAAAAGCAGATGTTACTCGGATCTTTTCTCCAACTGATATGTGTGTGTGTGTGTGGGATATTTATATTGCTGGAAAATACAATAA